TAGTAAAAAAAAGCTATAAAAACTAGTAAGAGATAGATATTTCTTAAAAAATATAATAATCTTCTTTAGCGTATTCTATTACTTTTAGAGTATTAATTAATAATAATTAAGTATTAAGTAGTTATTAGTTATCTTTTAAGTAATCTATTTCTTACTTTACGTATTATATTTAATCTTATATAAATTACTATTATCTAGAAAATACTTTAAGATAATATTAATTTATATACCTCTATTTAAAGTTCTCGCGATTTTTATTAATATTCTATAACTATATTAGAGCTTAAAATCTTTAATCTATATAAGAATTCTTTACTTTTTTACTATTTATAATTATTAAGAAATTAATAGAGTTATATCTATAACTTTAATAAGTTCTCTCTCTATCTCTATACTATTAAAGATATTACGAGATAATTATAATTAATAAGACTTAAAGACTATTTAGACATACTTTATATATCTTAAGAATATTTAAAATCGAGATTTCGAGCGAGAGATTAGTAGAAATAGAGATAATACTCTTAAGATACGCGAGGAATATAAAGTATATTAGATCTTTTTATATTATAAGAGAGATTACGTAAGACGATTTCATGAAAGAAATAATATATTAAACTCTATGTAATAGATCTAGACTATATTTATTAGATTATATTGATGTAGTGGGGTAGTAATCGAAATAATGGTGCGGAGAAAACAATTTGTTGCCTCTCGGCGTTTATCGGATACTGCAGGTGGCTTCAAACCCGGCAGCAACCGTCCTCTCCGCCTTCGAGTATATGTCCAAGTCGGTCACTGCTGAGGCACTTTTCAAACCAGCAAACTCCGAAAGGCATGAGAATGATGCTTAAGACCATCTTGTCAGGTCTCACCACGGGATAGACTCCTCGGGGCACGATACTTGAGATGGGGAGAATAGGAAATGTGCCAATTTACTCTAAAGAGTCCACAAGTGCAAGTCGATGATGTTACTTTTTCTCCAATTCGAGGATCTATATGGACCTCAAGCCCAGAATTTAGAGCAAAATTACATAGAAAAGCAGAGGAACGCCACGCGATAATAGGTTGAGACCTTTGTGGACAACCATTTGGCCCTGGCACTAGAATATCTTACCTTGAAGAGGTCTGCGTTATGCTGGGGTCTTGCGTCCCGAAGATATCCTGAAGGAAATGGAAGCTTCGAACAGTCTCTCAGAATCAAGGTCTTACGCAGATCCTGGAAAGGTGTGGTCACTATCAGATTATAGTTATAGGAGGGTCTTTTCATCAGCTGCACACCGAGACGTATCTTTTGTGGCGCTCAATAATTAATACCTTAGGTTGCTCCTGCTGATTCCTCTCGTCCTAGCGCTTAGTCTCAGTATTCAGACTCGCTTAGCGGGGTACCCTATAGCCAGCCCTACACTCGTTCCTCGCTTCGGGAACTAATTATATCGCAAGCTTATTACGATATACCCCCCCTCTAGAGTCTAAGTAAAAAACTATAAAATCGCTATATTAATTATTATTTTATATAAAATACTTATAATAATTAATTAAAATACGAAATTCGCGATTTTTAATAATTTTTTTATAATTATTATATAATTCTTTAAAGTTAATCGCGAGATAAATAAATCTATCGAGATCGCTAATTAAATATTTAAAATTTTTATTAAAATTAAATAGCTTATTATTATTATATAAGCTAATTTAAAATTATAATCTTCGTTAATATTTATAATATCTATTTTTAATTAATTAACTTTTATTAGAAAAATCTTAAATAATAGTATATTATATTTAATATTATTAAAAGATTATATAATAAATTAAATTAAGAAATTATTTAAGTAAATTTATTATATTACTTTTAATTAGAAAATTGAATATTTAAAATATATTCTCTATAAAAATATATATTAATTTAAATATACTTTATTTAGAAATTAAAGAGATTATAATATATATATTTTAAATAATATTAATATAATTAATATATTTAAAATAAACTTATATAGATATAAAATATATTAAGAATATTTAGATATTTAACTTTCTCTATAATAATAATAATAAAATATCTTTAAACTTTAGATATTAATCTCTCTATATCTTATAATAATATTCTTTCTCTATATAATAGCGAAATTTAAAAACTTTTAATAATTCGAATTAAAAGAAATTTAAAAATTTATATATTTAATTCTCGAGTATAAAAGTAGAGAGAAGATAACTAAGCGATATTTGATTAGGTCGTTTATAACGATAACGTAGACCTTTCTATATTTAAAGACGTCTTTTTCTATATTCCATATACTTATTATCTACAAATCTGAAAAGTTTCTTTTCGTATAATTTTCGCCGGGTTTATATTATAAGTATAATTTAGTTTATTTAGCAGACTTTATTTATATCTAACTCTTTTCGCCGATTTAATAATTATCTTAATCTTTTTCGTTAATTCTATTAGTTTAGCAATTTTAAAAAATTTTAATAACTTAAAAATTTTTACGTAATGCACTCTAATATACTCTAAGTACTATTCTATATATATATTATAATAATATTAATATATATTATTATTAATATACGCTATATTAGAGTATTACTTACGCGACTAATTTTATTAAATCGTTTAATTCTATAGTTAAATTTAAGTTAACGTTAATACTCGTTATCGTAGAATCTTACCGTTATAACGTCGATTATTAGAACTTTTCTTTTTTTATACGTATTGCTATTAAACTAATAGAACTAGCGAAAAAGATTAGAATAGTTACTAAACCGGCGGAATTTTAGCTGATTTTTAAGATAGTTACTAAACCGGCGGAATTTTGGCTGATTTTTGAGATAGTTGCTGAATCGGCGGAATTCTTAATTTTAGCCCTATTCGCAAGATCAGCAATTTAAAATTTAGCAGGAACTTTTCAGATTTGCAGATGATAAGAGACTCCGACGTCGTGTGAGATATTCTTATTTATCGATGTCGCCACCACTAATATCTAACTTTATATCAAAAGGATGAATTATCTCCGCTTCGCTCTCCGCTCTACTCTCCGCCATGTATGCTTGCTTGCTTGTTTGTTTGTTTGTATGCATCGCCGCGGCGATACTCTACTTGCTTGCTTACTTGCTTACTTACTTACTTACTTACTTGCTTACTTGCTTACTTGCTTACTTACTTACTTGCTTACTTGCTTACTTGCTTGCTTACTTATTTGCTTACGAGAGTCGCCGCGGCGATACTCTACTTGCTTGCTTACTTGCTTACTTGCTTACTTGCTTACTTGCTTACTTGCTTACTTGCTTACTTGCTTACTTGCTTACTTACTTACTTGCTTACTTACTTACTTACTTACTTGCTTACTTGCTTACTTACTTACTTGCTTACTTGCTTACTTGCTTGCTTACTTATTTGCTTACGAGAGTCGCCGCGGCGATAAGTCATCGCGGCGATACTCTACTTGCTTGCTTGCTTACTTACTTGCTTGTTTGTTTGTTTGCATCTATCGCTGCGGCGACTCTCGTAAGCCTAGCCGTCTAAAAAAGGGGGGAGACTGCGGCGTCTAACCGAAGTAATAAACTGACTAGCGAGGCCACGACATTTTCCCCAATACGTCGTGCCGTCGGTCCGGCGAGTACCACGGCGATTACCCCGAGGATTATGTACTTTAAGGGAATTCCTATATGATATCTACGCGTCTATTAAGACGTATAACGTTCTTAAATATTAATACCACTACTATAACTGAGTTAGCTAAGTTTTTTAATAGAATGAAATTAAAAGTCTACTTCTTAATTACTATATCATAGCTCCTAATTTAACGAGGGCCTATTTGATTATTTATTCGACTTTTTTCAAGAATTCCAAAAAAGACTATATCACGTAGTTACGCATTTTAGTTAAGGATCATATATACGCAGAGTATAAATATTATATATCGGGCAATACACTAAAAAAATAAGTCTTGGCAGGGTTTCCTGCTCAGACCCACTGCGTGGGGCCACTGAGACTACTAGCGCTTACGAGCCTCAGCCCTAACATCATCACTCTAACAGAGCTAGGCTTAGCCTACTACCTAGCTTCTGCCGACAAGGATTTCACCTCAGAACTTCTTCCACTCAGCCATCGCGCCGTCGAAGGAAAGAAGAATATCACACTTCGCGTCGTCTCATATTGTGAGGTCCCCTGAGTACACTATCTCTTAGGTGTACTTCCAGAGACGCCGTTCACGATATAGTCAGTATGTTAACTCTCGGAGAATTCCCGGCCTTGTGTACACCGCTTATTCATCTTGCAGAAGTCTTAACTCCACAGTCTGCGGCTGAGCTCATGCTCAAATGCTATTTGCTGAGACTAGGCGACCACGTCCAACATGCCCTTGTCAGATCGCTATCTTACTGAAGCATGTCTCAATAGACTTCAGTCCCAGCGCTGACACAACGTGCTCTGAGCCGCGGCTGAGCCTCTCCCACTATTTTGGCTGTGACCCTGCAATCTACTATGGCAGCGAGCCTCTTAAATGGAGTCAAGCTTTATCTTAGAGTCCAAGACCCTGGTTTCCGCTTCACTTCCTTGCTGAAATACCCCAAGCGCGGGAGTATCTGTGTTTCTTCTGAGTTCGTCTTGCAGCTTTGGAATTGTTGTGTCTCGATCCAGCTCACGGCTTCCAAGGACTTGTGATTACTCTATCAGAATGTCAGCAATCTCCTTCAGTGTTCTAACGGCAGTCTCGTGGGTTTTTACCGGTCTTGCTATTGTGCTTACGGCAGGCCGGTTTTGGATCCGGTGCAAGATTATCAGAAGCCTCTCCTGGGATGATGCAGCGCATCTGCTAGGACTTTTGCTCCTGGTCGCGCAAATCTCGATTGTTTCTGGGGGGGCCTCAGTTATATATCAGGTCGCGAGTTTTGAAGCAGGAGACGATGGCCGCTACGAAGCAGAACACTTGCTTTTCGTCCGTCTTGACGTTGCTGGTATTCTAGTCTCGTGGTGTTGCCTCTATGCCGTCAAGATGTCCTTCTTACTGCTCTACCACCGTATCTTCCAGATTTCTGAGAGGTTTGTTCAAGCATGGTGGATTGTTCTTGGAATAGTCTTCCTTACCTTTTGGATTTTGGTTGCCGGCTCCCTCACTGAATGCGGTAGTCCATCAGCCCTAGGACATATTGGTACGTGCTACCTATTATTACGTCACTCACAATACCAACAGCGTTACTGACAATAGTAAGAGAGTTGCGATACCCCCTCAATGATACATCGACAGCAGGTCTTCGTCATCTATGGCTGCGCAGTGAACGTCTTCTCAGACCTGGCTAGTAAGTGCTCTGGCCCTAGAATAAATTGTTAGCGTTTCAATGCTAAGTGTGTTATAGTCATGGCATTACCACTAGCAATGCTCAAAAGTCTCCAGATGCGCACGTCGGTAAAACTCGGCCTGGCTGGTGTCTTCTGCTGCGCCTTCGTCACAATTGCGTTTGACATTCTACGCGCCGTCGAGACGGACACGAAGGGCCGAATTGAAGGCTCTACCGCGCTTTGGACGAACCTCGAGTCAGCCGTTGCGGTTATTGTGTCCTGTCTTCCTAGCGTCGCTGCCTTATTCAGTCCAAAGAACGAACGCAATGGTGTCAGGAATCGCAGTCCTCATAGGCAACATTCACTGGTCATCTCGAACTCCGCGAAACACTGTGTGAGTGCTGGAAGCTCCGTCAAGAGCGGATTTAATGGCCGTACGTCTGCCGCCGTAGAGTCAGAGAATTTTGCCGTCTGTTCCAGCAGTTCGATGCAAGAACCTGTTACTGATAATGCTCAGCGCAAATGAAGCCCTGTTGTCTAAAAAAGGGCTCTTTTGTATCCCACAACAGCTCAACTCCAGGTTGCTCAGCACTCGCCGTACGTGACAGGGCGCCCTAATTCTCCGGCCTGCCCGTCGGTACTTCACGCCTGATTGATAGCTTTCTTAACGCGCTGCAACAACCCAATTACGTGCTTTACTTGGGACTAGAAGTCGGACCGCCATAGTATGAGCAACGACCTACGGCGCAGGGTCTCACCATTGAACCATCAAGCCACTTTTCTTGGAGGACTGCTTGGAGGTTGCGAGTTTATTCCCTATTAGCTTTAGAGCTGCAAAGCTGATCAAAATCGCGACTCACCTGGGTAGCTTAGGCTGGGTTATATAGGCGCGAATTTTGGGGTATCGGGTCGGCGATCTTGGTACTTTGCACCTTCTGAGGTTGGGGACTCTGAACGGGAAAGGGTCCGGTCATCCGTGACAGCAGCTAGCAAGATGACTCCACTTCTTGATGCGAGAAGCGACGAATCCTCATTTGCTATCTACTAGTGGTGAACGCAAGTCGCAGAGAAAACGCGCCTTATGCGCGGTCCGAGTACGCGACTAGCACGGGTATGCTGAATGAGTTCAACTATTTCGCATTAAATCTCAACTCAAAGCACCTTACCTGAAGACTGGCATCTGCAGTCAGAACTCTGACTTACAATAACGACAGGAGCTCTGAAAAGTGTGACTCCAATGTGCTTTCCACTTCGCCCCGTCATCATGTCTCTCTTGCTCCTACTCCCGCCCCCTTTCAATGCATCTCCCACGGCTCCGAATGATCAAAATGTGCCAGTGATTTTCAACTCGACTACGAATGTTATCGTACCCCACTGCTACATTCCAGATGGCCAAGACACCCCCGGAATTCGTCCGACCAATCTGAAAGGGTGCCAAGATGCCCTCGCAGTCCTTGTCCGCACACCAGACTTCACAACGCGCTTTCGCTTCAGCAAGAATCCCAGAGCAATGGCCAAAGAGGTCCCGGTGGGCTGGCAGCTGAGCCATGAGTCGGAATGCAGAATTGTGGTCAACTGCGAAAACGATCGCGACACGGCTGTGTTTAGATTTGCTGATGTTGCACGAATTGCGAAATTGATTATGGATAACTGTGTCGGTAAACCAGATCCTTCTGGGAGATACCCGCTACTGAAATGGGGTGGCGTCCATGGAATTGCGGAGGAGGAGACGTTCTATGTGGCTGTTGGAAGGCCTCAGTCTGCACTGGAATTCAAGGTGTCGAATCAGACGGTGGTCACCAGTGGGGGACTGGTTGACGGAGGCGTTGAGTCCGCGTGATAGATATCTCATACGAGCTGATGAAATCACGGCTACTGCAACGGTTCCTGATCTCTTGTACGAAAAGGGTAGATGTAGAATATTTTATACGAAGATCTAAAATGCATTGAGACGGTGAAATCCCAGATGCTAGATGGGACAGACTTTACAACTTAGCACGCAGACAATGGAATGTGTTCTGTGCGGGAAAGAGGCGTGATGGTCTACAATTTGACCATGACGAAAGACTACCAACAGTCACAAGAAGTATAAGACTCGCACTCAGGACAAATTTCATCTACGCAAAGATACCCTGCTTCCATCTCACCAACGCTGAAACTTCTACCCTACCCAGGTGTTATTCGCAACCAAGCCGTTGAAATCTCGCCGATTGCGCATGGACCCTCCACATTCGCACTCCCACGCCATTGGGCCATTAGCAGGGCCATCAAGTATGCAAGTACCCCCCGGGCCACAGCCATTACAACAACCCGTTGCATAAGCAACTTTGTCGGTACCGGTAGCTCCACTGAAGCAGGTTGATGGGGTGGTGGTGCAGACATGGTTCCAGACCTGGGGTGAAAAATTCTCTGTCAGCATGTTGTTCGCATGGAACAAAAACCGCATATCACTGCATCTGAAAGTTGTTCTGGACTTGCAATAGAGAGAGAGAGCACTTACAATTGGTGAAGAAGGTGGAGTGGTAGTGGGAGTAGGAGTAGGGCCAGCGCTAGTGCTTGGCGGAGGAGGAGGTGTCTGCGCATAAGAAATATGTTGTTAGCCTATTGCTTGGTTTGGAGACACAGATACCGAAGGCACTTATCGTGATCATTGAAAACGAAGACTTACAGACGTGGATGAAGGTATCGTTGAGGAAGGTGGCGAGGCAGGACCCGTACCAATGCAGTACTGATTACCTGCGATAAGGTTGTCACAGCTTGGAGAGATATTCGGGTTCATTAATAGGAATTCGTCCATGGTAATTTCGTTGTCTGATGCTACGCTCTCGCAGCTAGCACCGGCGGCCACTGTAATCCAATGGTCAAATGGTCCACATGCTCCAAGGACAACCTGATCTCTAGCCACTAGGGTAGCTACGGCTGGAGGCGGGGTGATTCCGGCCTGGTCGTTCCTAAACCCTTGAACCTCGGATGTGATTGAAAGGGCGAAGAATATGTATGTTTGAATAATGGTACTCATTCCTGATGAGCTACGCATGATGTCGGTGGTTCCCGTAAGGTTAGTGAGAAGTAGAGGCGAGAAGTAGAAATAATTGCACAAGGAAGGCCAGCTTAAATAAATGAGTGGTATGGAATCGAATGTGAGTTTCTGGCAGATCAGTAGGAGAGAGAATGCATCAATTTATGGACTGAACGACGTATCCTAACCAGTTCTTTGAGCCTTGGTCAGGCTCATGTTTTCTTTCTTCAGCAGCAAAGAAGAAGGCAGTGATTCAGTCTGGAGCCACATGCCTGTGCCTTTCCCATTGCACGTTGGTCTAACCATAAAAGGCTACGCCTTTGTTGTTGCCTGATATTGTTGCTTAGTATTGTTGTTAATTTGAAAGAGCTCGGATCGGGCACTTTGGCTTCGCGAGCGCGATCGGGATCAGAAGCACAAAGAAAGGCGACACGGTTACAACCAAAGCCACTCTGCGACGATACTCGGTAACTCTGGCTGTCCTGTTGTCCAAGCTGGGACGTCTGTCTCTTGTCCCGACCTTTGTTTGGTAATGAAAGCTCGCGATAAGTGGTTATTACTATGAAGTCCTATCATCGTGCTTCGGGCAATGATTGAGGAGTAGCCATCAAGGCCTCGGATCCCTCTGCACCTGAGCATTTTCATCCTCCACCTTCACGGCCCAAGCTAGCCCTGATCAGATGGTCATCATACTCATCCAGAACTACAACAACAGCTTCCATGCCACCATCTATGTACACAGCTCCCATAAGCGCTTTGATAGTGAGCCGAAGAATGGCGGTAGCTTCATTTTGGTCACCTCCGTAACCGCTTCTTTCGATCAGGTCCAACAATCCTATTTTCCTCCCACACACAGACACGCTGTCTTCCAGCCACATGGTGTTATGGGTTTCGTTCAATACTTGTATGACGTCAGTGATTTCGTGATGTCATATAGCTTGAGTAGTATATACCACGAGAATTAGCTAGACCGGTGTAGTTGTACTCGACAACGGCACGTGCAAGGCTGATAGCGTTGCTACCGACCACTTGTAAACCCGTGTTGTCATCATAGCCATGCCATCCCACAATCGATCTGGGGAATTGGAGCGCCTCCAATAGAAGCACAGGGTTCTTGAATGTATGGGAAATGCAGCTCTCAATTGTAAGTAATTCAGTCTGGGTTTTACCGTCTATGCCATGAAATCGATCAGAAGCCATTGTCTATCAGGAGAACTTTGATGTTCGAGAGAACAGAGGTCCCAAAGTCTGAGGACCTGTGGTACTCTTCTTCAAATAATGACAGCCGCTGTAGAAGGAGATAGACTTCGCAATGCTGAAGATATTACAAAAGTGGAGAGTTACGATGTTCTTTGACTGGTTTATCGACGGAAACTAGACGGTTGTTTAGCAAACAAACGTTCGTAAGCTTGATACACCATGCGAGATCTCTTCCGATAAGTGATTACAGCAGTAGCCTGATACATAGCAAGCAAGCCAGATCGGAACCAGTCACCTAGGCAGCTGCATTAAGTCCGGCTGTCAAGGTTCAGAAATACATAGCGGAATAGGCGCAAGCTCTATAGAGCTTGTATTCGGCCTTTTGAACTATGCCATTGGGACTGGCCACGGAAACCTACCCGCCAAGGCCCAACGGTGACACTAGCGTCAATGCTTAGGGCGTGATGTCTGGCTCCGTAGCGTTGCGTATTGTTGAGGTGGGAGAACATCGATATCTTTTCACGACCCCTATTAAGCAGGAATTTTTGTTTATGACACCTGAGAGGACGAGAGAGAAGTCTACGAGGGTATGCCGGTACATTAAGAGACAGATAGTGAAGGGGATACATCCTGGAACGTCTTCTAGGCGCAAATATAAAGCGCAATATAAAGACGGCCTGTCACCTCGAAGGTGGTGTCTCTTGTAGTCGGGACCCTTAAATCGAAACAAGAGTACTCGCAAAGCAGCTTTGGATAGAATTCAATTCGACTCAGGCGTCTAACCTCTCAATGAAAGTTTCTGAGGACGTAGGATAATTGGGAGATCTCATATTCATGTACTGGTAAGGGGCATTCAGAATTAACAGAGCACCATGTAGGATTAGGATTAGGTTAATGGATGATCTACCACTATTATTCTGAAGATGGTGATTGCGTTGCGTTGAGCCCTTGCGCCCCGAAAACACCTCGCTTGGCCCCTACTGCCACAGGGAACTGAGTTGCACCCTACAGAGACTCAGTGAGCACGAGTCTGCTTCAGTACATTGCATCGGCTAGTATGGCAGAGAAATTCCAACATGCTTCTTCGTATGCGTGCTCATAATCTCTAGTAGGCTCCGAGACGTAAGTTGAAAAATACATGAGTTAGGGTTGACCTTGCCTGTACCGTTCAGTCAGGTCGTGCCATGAAGTTCTCAGCTTGGGCTCTTCTGCCGCAGGGGTAATAAAAAGTCCATGGATAGAGCACATGCTTTCCTGGCGCACATTTGACATTGAACATTATCTTATATAACCTAGACTAACAGATTAAAGACCCGATTTACGTGGAACATCCCGCCGCCGTCAACGCCGCTTCAGCAGCAGTTTCATATCCGGCCAAAAACGCGGGAATCGAAATTTTCTGTTTTTTGAGAGATGCGATCTCTTCCTCGATACTTTTATACTTTGCTTTTAGGTTGGCGCAGGTCTTGGCGGAAGCTTTCGCGGTAGAAGAAGTATGTTGTAGGGAAGGAGCCGTGGTCTGCTTTTCTTTTGCTGTAGTCTTGAAAAGCGTAGTCTTATGGGGTGTGGTGGTAGGCTTGGTAGAGGTTTTTTTCGTTTTGGTGGTCTGTAACGTGTTTTTCTTGCTGGATGTTGGAGTAGTGGTTTTCTTCATGTTAGTTGTTGTTGGATTAGACGTGTGCTCGACCGCGCTAGATTTCGAGGTGCTGGTAGTGGTAGACTTAGTCGAGCTGGATGGAGTGAACTTGGAGAAAGATGAGGCGGACGACGCGGCAACCAATACTTGCGTTTTAGCTGTTGTTGCCTGGGTGGTGCTTTTTGCAGCGCTGGGACTCGAGCTAGTAGGTACCAGGGAACTCGAGACTGTGGTGACGGTATTCGCACTGGATGAGACCAAGGTCATGGAAGCCGAGGTGGAGATAGCGGGAGCCAAAGAAGAAACGGTGAGAGATGAGGCGAATGCTACGGCCGCGCTAGTGCTGGTTGGGGAGGATTTCGCTACTAATAAGGGGTGCAGAGTAAGCAAGAACGATCTTGTACCTCAAAGACCTAGAGACTTACCGTAACTGCTGTTTGATGCTGTTATTGATGCAAAGAAGGACGATGCTGTAGAAGAGGAAAGGCTGCTTCCAGATGGGCTGGAAAATCCAATCGAAGAAGCTCCGGAAGTGCTTGACGCAGTGCTGGAAGAAAAAACACTGGAAGTAAAGCTAGAACTCGACTGTGCCAGAGCGGGGCTAGCTATAGCAGCAAAGAAAACAATGATGGCAAAGATACTCATGACTGCGAAGGCAAATGTAAGTGACGCCTTAGGGTTGCGGGCGTTCTGAAATGTAGGATAATCTGTAGGATAAGACGTACTCTATATAATTTTGTCATCTGCGATCGAAGCCGTTGCTTTGACAGGGCGTTCTCAATTAAACATTTGATGTGTCACAAATGTAGCCATGGCGAGTTTTTATGCTGTAGGCTTTCTCTTGAACAACTAAGATGGCGGACACTAGTTGCTAGGCGGAGAGCACAGGTGGAGGACGTGAGTCTCTGGAGGTCCTCAAAGTGGCATGTTGCACTGATAAAGGTCTGAGCCCAGAAGATCCAAGATTTGGACAGTTTAAAAGAAGGAGTGACAAACCTTCCATGCTGTTGTCAGTAACAGCTATTGCGAACAAGTAGAGTAGATAGGCATGCTGAACTCCCAGGACATCATCCAGGCGCGTGAATTCTACCTTGTGATAGCCATAACTAGTCAAGCGGAGATGGGTACAAGTAGCTGTTGGCATACAGAAACGCCATTTGCAAAGAGAATGGAACCTTTCGTTGCCGTTTGCTTAAGCGCCCATGGCGGACAAGACCAAAGGGACTCTCAACGATTGCCCAACTGTGATTACGACAGCCTCCCACCAGGGTACGCCTCCTAGTCTCAGTATTTAGACTCGCTTAGCGGGGTACCTTATAACTAGCCCTACACTCGTTCCTCGCTTCGGGGGTTAATTATATCGCAAGCTTATTATGATATACCCCTCTTTTAAAGTCTAAATAGAAAACTATAGAATCGCTATATTAATTATTATTTTATATAAAACACTTATAATAATTAATTAAAATACGAAATTCGCGACTTTTAACGATTTTTTTATAATTATTATATAATTCTTTAAAGTTAATTATAAAGCGAATAAATTTATTAAGATTATTAATTAAATATTTAAATATTTTATTAAAATTAAATAATTTATTATTATTATATAAGTTAATCTAAAATTATAATCTTCGCTAATACTTATAATATCTATTTTTAATTAATTAATTTTTATTAGAAAAATCTTAAATAATAATATATTATATTTAATATTATTAAAAGATTATATAATAAATTAAATTAAGAAATTATTTAAATAAATTTATTATATTACTTTTAATTAAAAAGTCGAATATTTAAAATATATCTTTTATAGAAATATATATTAATTTAAATACGCTTTATTTAGAAGTTAAAGAGATTATAATATATATATTTTAAATAATATTAACGCGATTAATACGCTTAAAACGAGTTTATATAAATATAGAATATATTAAAAATATTTAAATATCTAGCTTTCTTTATAGCGGCGATAGCGAGATATCTTTAAACTTTAAATATTAATCTCTTTATATCTTATAATAATATTCTTTCTCTATATAATAACGAAGTTTAAAAACTTTTAATAATTCGAATCGAAAGAAATTCAAAAATTTATATATTTGGTTCCCCGTATACGGAAGTAAGGCGGATATCACTTTAGCGATTTTATAGAATCCCAAAAAACGAGTACCTATAGCGAGTCGAACTCTTCCTCGCTCTTATCAGGGTAAGATTCTAGGTGTCGCGAAAGCGCGGAGGAGCAGAGTAGTTGCCATAACTCCAATAGTACCTTACATATAAAAAAAAGGCCATGCTTGGCACTCAGCCCTGCGGCTGATACTTAGTGCCCATATATACACAGGGGTGAATATCTCATATCAGCCAAACCACCAAAAAAATGAGGCTTGGCAGGGTTTCCTACTCAGACCCACTGCGTGGGGCCTTTCTGAGACTAACGCCTCCCGCCATTCGTGGCGTTCTCGTCGCAAAAGCCACTTCGCCATGACCAGCCAAGTGAAGATTCTGAACATCGAGCAAGATGGGTGGAACGAATGGCGTCTCAACTAATGCCAACCTACGTTATCAATATCCACTGCCCTAGATTGATTTTTTGTGATATCGCCTGAATAATCTTTGTTCTGGAGTTGCTGCGCTAGGCCTAAAAGAGTTAATCTGATAATGACGGCTTATGGCCATTAGCCACAATGTGGCTGGGGGCTACAGCCATATAGCCATGGGCAACAGCCATATAGCGCATATGTGGAACTAACTCGCCTGGAAGGCTGAGATGTGACCCCGGAAGCAATCTGATTTACTATGGGCCACAAGCCGAAATCGGATGACTCGAAGGGACGAATCTCCAGTGATTTGGCAAGCGACTTTTTGCATTTATATCAGGCCCATGCCCACTTGCATGAAGTTCTTTCCTTATGTTCTACCTATCTATGTATGCGATCTATTTACATAGCATTCATATATAGCCCTAGCCCTAATTGTATTGGGCATAGCCTACCATATTGCCAACAAATACTACCTACTTTATCCAGCGATTGACTTGATACTTGTTTTTGATGCGGTCTGACGCCATCGAGGCGAGCAGTAGTCATAAGTGTCAACGCTTGCTGGGCAAGGAGTACCTAAAACAAAAAAGTATGTTCTTCCTCTGAAAAAGGGACGACAACCCAACCTGACTTGACTGGTACGGTTGTCCTCGGTCAGAGAGAACGCCCATCGGCTGTGTATACATAGGAGCACTAGGAGATCACTTATCTCAAATGTCTCCCTCGCCCCCTACAGATACCAAAAGGTTTGTTCTTGACTTTTTTCATTGCAAGATTTTTCGGGTAGTGTGGCCCTTCATTCACTCGCCATTGCGACTGTTACCCATCTTTCTCGATCATTTAGAGTGTTTAGAAGTCAGTATCTTCTCGTCAGTCTGACCATTCGAGTCTTTTCGAGAAGGATATCTCCGGGCAATTTATCCGTTATGATCCCTCCACAACATTGAAGCTTCCAGTGTTTGACGATATCAGGCACTCACTCTCCATATCCTGTCTCCATACTTCAAAACAAGATCGTATGTTCATCCGAAGGCGCCTACCACAAGCACATCGCGCGAAGTGTAACCTCTGTGGATTATTTCCTATTTTGCCTCAACGCCGATGCATTGTATCGTAAGAAACCCCTGTGATTAATTTGTGATACAAATCTATCCAGATATGTGGACATATATGTTGCCGATTATATGGTTTTACTCTTAGATCTAGCAGAAGCTTGGATGTAACATACGATGTAAGAGCAAGAGCAAGAGCACTGAGTCTACACCATTTGGTCTACTCTAGGTTCAAGTAAACGAATGACTTGGCTCCCCACGTTTAAATCATACTCATTAGCTCGACTTGTTTAGTGTTGCTTGCACAACCTAGTTAGTGTTACTAGCATTACCTAGTCAGTGTTACTGGCTTTCTCGAGCACCCTCACCCTGGCTCGACGTCGGCGAACTGTTTCATCAATCCTCCACGGGGCGGGCCATTCAGAGTACCGAAGAGGAGTTGAGCGCTTTAAAGTCAGTGGGATGGCAGATTCCAATTAGAGTTGTTGCGCTCCGTGAGACCCTTTTGGTGCTGTTGCAGCTTGCCGCCTAAGCCAGAACTTAGTTCAGGCTGCGACGGGGTGAGTTGGTAATCATAGAGAAAAATGGACGGGGCCGGTGGGCTCTCGTACTCATATGTTGAGCAATGCCGTTGGAGTTCTCGCCCCATTCTGGGAAATCTTTGATTGAGTCGCCTAGCATGGGTACCAAACCATTGAAGGCCTCAGGGTCATCGTAGAAGAGAATCTGCCACGAGCAGTAGCACTGCGTATAAAAGGTCGAGCAGAGCATGGAAGAATGCCACACCGTGCCATGACACTGCTTGAACGCCTACACATCGGGCTTAAGTCTGCCGAACTACTCTGGAAGAGCTAACCTCGGGTCGAGAAATTCGTGCACAGAGACAGGAAGTTCCAAGCCTGACTATAAAAGCAACCCTAAGCCAGCTAATCTATGAAATAGAAGCAATGCCTTCCGCGGATTTACCCGATGGATCCTCTTCAGTATCTCCTCAGGTGCCAATGGCTTGATCGCGCCCGCTTTCTGCTCCTCTACCTTCTCTACAAGAAGAAGTAACAACAAGTTTCTTTGACATTCTGTACCTCGAACCATCCCTTCGCTTGGCAAAGGCTTCGCTAGGTGGTTAGAAGTCTAGAACGTCCGTTCAAAGTGATACGAGAAAAGTCGCATCTCAAGCACACTGATCAGGACAACTCAGCGCGCGTAGCGAGCAGTCGTGGTGACGAGATTTGGACCAAAGTTCAAGGAAGATGATACTCAAGTTCAAAACCCAGTATGGTCAAGGGATACCGTTCAGTCTATCTCTTCTGGCTGCGGTTGGTAACGAATCATACGAGACTGCGAGCAGGATGAGCGATTGAGACATTGCAGAGAAGCAACAATCTCCACTGGAAGGTGCAGGAACTCATCCACTTGGCCCATAATCAGCATACCGAGCTGATCTACTTTCACGATGTAGGAGTTGGTGCTTGAATGGTCACGCTCGGTAGGCTCAGGTTGGTGGTAAACTGTCAGGAATGTCATCGTTGTTTACACTGTTGCACTCTAAGCGGAGCCCAGTCACGCTCTTCGCCTTGCCTATGCAGCATACTGGAAATCTTGGACTAAACACGCAAGAATGATAAAGCCAAGCAGAAAGACAGACGATAAAAAGATTGCCCAAATTTTGCTTTCACAACACCCCGTATTTCCTTTTCCCCTCAGTATTCAAGCTTGTGGTCAAACGACTGACGAATTACAGCCGGAATATTAGCATATCTAAGCCGTCAACCCTGCTGGGTACAACACACAATTCGGTATTCAAAACGTGAGGCAGCAGGATCTCCTGTTTCCCCCACCAGTTTTGCTAGCCAAGGAGACTAAACTTTGTAGAATACCGCTGTATGCGTTTCATCTTGGTAGCCTCCCGCACCTGCATTCTGAAAAGGTGGCGAGCAAATTTGGCATTGACGTTCTACTTCGCGGTGGGATGATTTTGTCAGTTAGCAGCGCAAAACCCTCCTAGCCTCGTTTGGGTAAAGATGGTACCTCGTCTGCACAGTGTCCTGCAGCTCTTGGGACCAAGTCTATTTAGACTGTCGTCGCTGAGGAAG